AGGCCAATAATGCAGGAAGCAGCGGCGCTGCGTCTTCTGGCGGCAGCGGCAAGATGAGGGAAGGAAGCAGCCGCAGCATCTGCAGCAAACCCTCATCATTGAATTAGGGTTTAGGGTTTAGGGTTTAGGTATTTAGAGGAGTGGCCTAGGGTTTAGTGTTTAGGGTTTAGGGTTTAGGGTTTACCTTCGTGCCGTGCTCTGATGGCTCTAAGGCCATCCAAACCCCCAAAAGTCTCGCAGCAGCAGACAAACCCTCCAACACCGCAGGAGGCCTGAGCAAACCCTAAACCCTAAACCCTAAACCCTAAACCCTAAACCCTAAACCCTCATCCCTACGCCGTAAACCCTAAACTATAAACCCAAAAAAACAAACGTAATTTCCCTCCAAAGGAAAGCAGGGCTGTGCCGCATCAGCAGCAGCTGCTGCTGCGATTAGTGATGCTGCTGCTGCTGCTGCTGCTGTTGCTGCTGCTGCTGCTGCATACCTCCAAGTAGTCTTTTTGTCTGCTGTGTCTTCGGCGAAGTCGAGCGCTGCGAGCGCCGCCTCTTGAAAGGAAGCAAATATGTCGTGCTGCAGCAGCAGCAGCAGCAGCAGCAGCAACAGCAGCAGCAGAAGCAGCAACAGCAGCAGCAATAGCAGCAGCACATGTAGAAGAAACAGCAACAATAAGGACATTAAGAGGAGTTCTTCTGCTGCTGCTGCAGCAGCGAGGCGACAGCAGCAGCTCCTATCGGCAGTATGTGCAGCAGCAGCAGCAGCAACAACAGCAGCAGCAGCAGCAGCAGCAGCAGAAGGATTAGGGTTTACGAGTGTTTGTGCACTGATGGGTCCTTGATCTAGGGTTTCAGCTTGTTGCCCTAAAACCCTAATGCAGCAAACAGCAAACATAAATGCTGCATTTGCTGCTGCTGCTGCTGCTGCTGCTGCTGCTGTTTTCTCTGTTGCTGTTAACTCTCTTGGTATTATAGCACGAGGGTCCCATGTCCTCTTCATTAATACAGTACTCTTGCTGCTGCTGCTGCTGCTGCTGCTGCTGCTGCTGCTGCTGCTTGCTGCTGCTGCTGCTGCTGCTCTTGCTGCATCGCTGCAGCGGTCAAAGTATAAACGAATCTCCAAGGCAGAGACGCGGCAACAAACACTAATCAATCCAAGACCATCTGAGCACACATTAGGGTTTAGGGTTTAGGGTTTAGGGTTTAGGGTTTAGGGTTTATGAGGGCAAAGCATTAATCTATCCGAGAGAGCAACTGAATACACATTTTAGGGTTTAGGGTTTAGGGTTTAGGGTTTAGGCTTTAGGATAGCAAGCACTACTTAACCATCTATACAATCATAGAACAGATTAGGGTTTAGGGTTTAGGGTTTAGGGTTTATACCTGGTAGTAGTAGACAATTAACATCATAAAGGATTAGCAGCAAACTGCAGCACTGCAGCAGCAAACCCCGCTGCTGCAGCGGCACTTTGCTGCTGAGCGCTTTCTTAAGAGATATACATACTCGCTGCAGCACAGCATACACCCTAAACCCTAAACCCTAAACCCTAAACCCTAAACCCTAAACCCTAAACCCTAGTTTTGCAGCAAATATGACGAACTGTAACGAATAACAGGTGCCTATTGAAGCAGCTAGCTAGCTAGCTGACTAGCTAGCTAGCAAACTATATAGGCTACCTACCTAGCTAGCTAGCTAGCTAGCAAGCTGCCTATATAGCTAGCTAGCTAGCTAGCTAGCTAGCTAGCTAGCTATGGACGTACTTTGAGGTATTTTTGCCTAAATTCCTCAACAGCAATTGCTGCTGCTGCAGCACGTTGCTGCATCTTTAGTAGCTTCTTTTGCTGCTTCTGCTGCTGCTGCATATGCTGCAGCACTTGCTGCTGCTGCTGCTGCTGGGGTTCTGCTGCAGCAGCAGCAGCAGCTAGCCATAGAGCAAGAGGCTCAACAGCTAATAGATCACATCTTTCTTCTCTTGTTAGGCGCAGCACAAGAGAGGGCAGCAGCAAAGATAATGTACACTGCATGCAGCAGCAGCAGCAGCAGCAGCAACACACATATATATATTTATATTGCTGCTGCTAAGGACTCGGCAGGACCAGCAGCAGGAGATGCAGCAGCAGCAGCGAGAAGGAACAGCAGCAGATGCAGCAAAAAGGCACAGCAGCACCAAGACGAGGAGCACCAGAAGCAGCAAGAAGCAGCAGCAACAGCAGCAGTAGCAGCAACAGCAGCAGCAGAGGTTTAAGGCTTACCGGGTGCAGGTGCTGCAACAGCAGCGAGAGCAGCAGCAGCGGCTCTTCTCCTTGCTGCTGCTGCTGCTGCTGCTGCTGCTTCTGTTCCTGCTGCTTCTCTTCCTTCTGCTGCTGTTCCTTCTGCTGCTGTTCTTTCTGCTGCTGTTCCTTCTGCTGCTGTTCCTGCTGCTTCTGTTCCTGCTTTTTCTTTTCCTGCTGCTGCTGCTGCTGCTGCTGGCGCTGCTGTTCTTCCTGCTGCAGCAGCACATTGCATGCAACAGCAAGACAGTCACAGCCACCAACAGGTATCCCTTGTATCCACAGCACTTTGCTGCTGCTGCTGCTGCTGCTGCTGCTGCTGTCTTCATCTTCTGTGTCGCTGTCGCTGCTGCTTGTCTCCTCATCTGTATCCCCTGGGGGCCCCCTAGGGGCCCCCTTGGGGGGCCCCCCAGGGGCCTCCACGTTATCCAGCCATTCTTTATGTAGCTCAGTACCCTCAAACTCTAATTCATCGTCACTGTCCTTCTCTTCTTCCTCTCCTGCTGTTGCTGCTGCTGCTGCTGCTGCAGCAGCTGCTGCAGCAGCTGCTGCGTCTGGGTCTCCTGCTGCTGCTGCAGCAGCTGCAGCAGCAGCAGACCATTCTTGCATGCATTTTTCTGCCTCAGCTAGTGCTGCTTCGAATTGCTGCCGATGTGCTGCTGCTGCTGCTTCAGGCAGCAGCAGAGATCCATCTGCTGCAGTATCAGCAGCAACAGCAGCAGCAGCAGCAGCAGCAACTTTTCTATGACCAAATATACAAATAAAGGAGCGCAGCAATGCAGCAATTGTTGCTGCATCCTCAATAGATAAACTATAATCTATTGCTGCTGCATCCTTCTCTCCTTCTCCCTCTCCTGCTGCTGCTGCTGCTGCTGCTGTTGCTGCTGCTGCAGTGGATTCAGTTGCAGCAGCAGGTGCTGCTGCTGCGTTTGACGAATCCCCTTGCTGCTGCTGCTGTTGCTGTTGCTGTCCTTTATCCTGTTGCTGCTGCTGCTTGGGGTCTTGCTGCAGCGGTAAGAGTGCTGCTGCTACTTGCTGCTGCTGCACTAGCAGCAGCCACAGCAGCGGCAGCAGCAGACAGCGTAAGCGCAGCAGCACCTGCTTGTGCTGCTGCAGCAACTGCAGCAAGAATAAACAAATACTTCTATAGGGAGGAGCAGCAAGCAGCAAATCCCTCAAGAATGAGGGTTTAGCAGCACGAATAAACCTTATTGCTGTCTGCTCATCCAATACTTTGCTGCTGCTGCTGCTGCTGCTGCTGCTGTCGCTGCTGCTGCTGCTGCTGCTGCTGTTATATAGCTGCGCAAATCTTACTAGACCAGCAAACTTCGTTCGCGGTTTGCTGTCCTTAAGAAGAAGAAATATTTCCTCTAAGGGGGGGCCCCCCCCTCCTCCTGCCTCACTCATTGTAAACCCTAAACCCTAAACCCTAAACCCTAAACCCTAAACCCTAAACCCTAAACCCTAGAATTTATAAAATTGAAATTCGCAAGAAAATTCAATACCCGCGAAAGAAGGAAGAAGGGAGCGAGGTTTGACAAATCAGTGTTTAGGGTTTAGGGTTTAGGGTTTAGGGTTTGGCAGGTGGCTTGATGCCACCAAGTACAGATATTTATAATAAAGAAGTAAGAATAAAAACTAAGATAAAGTTTTAGGGTTTAGGGTTTAGGGTTTGGGGTTTAGGGTTTAGCTTCCTTGGGTCAGGAAATGAATGGCCTTTTTGGGGGGCCCCCAAGGGGCCCCCTGGGGGCCCCAAGCTGATCTATGTTAAGGATTCGGATAAACCCTAAACCGTAAACACTAAACCCTAAACCCTAAACCCTAATTTTAAATTATATATTTACCCCACAACACTTCTTCTTTGGCTTCGCTCTCCTGCGTTCTTCTGCCCTTTGCCCGGCAAACCTCCGATACCTCAAACCCTAAACCCTAAACCCTAAACCCTAAACCCTAGAAGTGTGTGTAGGATGCATTTGAGTCGTCTGGTTCGCTCTTTGGGGTTTCAAACCCCTCATATGGTTTGTCGCTGTCTGAGTACCTCAGCAGCAGCAGCAGCAGCAGCAGCAGGAGCAGCAGGAGCAGCAGGAGCAGCAGGAGGAGCAGCAGGAGGAGCAGCAGGAGGAGCAGCAGGAGAATCAGCATCAGCAGGAACAGGAACATCATCAGCAGCAGAAGCATCAGAAGCAGCAGCAGCAGTAGCAGCAGCAGCAGCAGGAAAAGCTATTGTACTTATTGGTAAATCTACAGATATATATAATAATTTATCTATAGAGGCAACAATAAAAGAAATATGGTCTGGTCAATACATAAACCCTAATTATAAAACCCTAAACCCTAAACCCTCAGGACCTCTTCTTTATCTATGGAGAAATAATAAGACTGTTGTACTAGGCAGACACCAGAATGCATGGAGGGAGGTAAACCCTAATATAATTAAACAAAATAATATTCAATTAAGTAGGAGATATTCAGGAGGAGGAGCTGTTTATCAGGTAAATTATTAGGGTTTAGGGTTTAGGGTTTAGGGTTTAGGGTTTTGGACACCAAATAGGGATTCAACAACCATTCATTCAAATAAACCCTCAATCGATAAACCCTAAACCCTAAACCCTCAATCCCTGAACCCTCAAACCTATCCCTCACACCCTAAACCCTAAACCCTCAATCCCTAAACCCTCAGACCTATCCCTCACACCCTAAACCCTAAACCCTAAACCCTAAACCCTAATAATTGTATGTATATATATATATGTATATGTATATGTATATATAATTATATATATTTATAGGACCTAGGTAACACTTGTTATACAGTAATATGCAGAGGAGAAAAGAAAGAAAAAATAAATAAATTTATTATTGATGCATTAAATCATCAATTTAATATACAAGCTAAACATAGCGGAAGAAATGATCTTGTATTAACTGATGGAAGAAAAGTAAACCCTAAACCCTAAACCCTAAACCCTAAACCCTAAACCCTAAACCCTAAATCCTATATATTTGAAGAATCTGGGAAATCTATGTTTGTTCCACTAGTACAAAAAACTCTAACGTATAACCACCCTAAACCCTAAACCCTACTATCAAGCATAAACCCTAAACCCTAAACCCTAAACCCTTGTGTGCTTTCCTATTTACAGTTCTCAGGTGCCGCGTATGCAAAGGCTGGAGACATATGGGTGCACCACGGTATGCTGCTGCTGCTGTTGTTGCTGCTGCTGCTGTTGCTGCTGCTGCTGCTATTGCTGCTGCTGCTGCTGCTGGTGCAGAACAAACCAGCTGCAGCAGTATTTATAGCAGCAGCAAGTTGACATTTGCAAATCGAGGGTCTGACAGTCATATTGAGGGTTTAGGGTTTAGGGTTTAGGGTTTATATAGAATATAATTTATTTATAGGTACATTTTTACGGGAAGTAGATGAGGAAATATTAAGTACAGTATTAACACCTAATAAAGAAAAATTAATTAGCAAAGGAATAAAAAGTATTTCCTCAAGAATTGTTAATCTTAAACAAATTAATAATTCTATTACTCATGAAAATGTAAACCCTAAA